CTACTGTGTACACACTGAACCTGTGCATGTTTGAGTGCCATATAGAAACTACATGCTCACCAGTGACTGTTGGCATTTGTGCACATTTGTGCTGTAAAACCAAAGGAGGGTTAATAAACTACATGGATATAATGTTGTCAAATTGACAAGTTTACTTTACTAAAAATGCTAATGGTGCCTTTGTGTAAAATGCTTCTTCAACGATGTCCACACATCTAATTTTTATACCCACAATTCATTTCAGAGGGAGTTTAGAACCAGTGTAAATGGCCTTTTTTAGAATTGTGTGTATTGCTTGTACATGTATTAGTAGAAAATGAAACAGTATTTGCATGTAGTTATCTTTCACTGAAGTTACGTGTACATGTTCCTTAATTAACCCTAACCCTCCCAAATCCTCCAAAATCCTTTTCTGCAAAGTGGAGGAATTGGAGGATTCATGGTGTATGACAAAAGTGCATGGCTGATTTTGAAGGATGCCACGGGTGAAGGTTGTTGATTAGACCTTGTGTTGTTTGTGCTTAGCTAAGCACAAACTCAGCCCGATATTTCTTTTGAATCGACTGCACAGCTCAAGAGCACCATCCTCACTGCCTCAACATTAATGACAAGAATTGCCGGAGGATTTTGAAGGATTTGGGCAGTTAGGCACATCTCCAAATGACATTTTCAAGAAATGTTGGAGGATTTGGCTGAATGCAATTTTTTCATGTTGAAAATCGGAGGATTTTGGAGGATTCAGGATAGTTCCCAGTAAAAGGGTCTAGGGGGTTAGGGTTAAAGATTAAGTAAACATGAGACAGGAGTAAACAAAAGAAACGTTCCAAGCTGTCCAAGATAGACAAAAGTAAAGATGTAGATGATGTACAGTGTAATTTTCCCACTGCAGTTGATCACAGTACACAGTTTTGTTGTAAATTATCCACAAGGCACAAAGTGTGCTTGAAAGAAGCTTTACATGTATGCATGAACATCATCGGCTGTTAATACTTTGAAATTGTCATTTCAACTTGCATGTGATCTGTCTAACGTAAAACCAAAAGTAGGCAGTGATGTGGGCTGTCTTCATGTACCTGTAGGTATTGGCAGAGGTTACAGTCAAGACCCCCTTTGCCATGACCAAAACATGGAGATCAGAAACTGAGACTGAGAATTTCAATCAGGGATCTGCCGCTGCCGGTCAGCGCC